AGCACTGAAAACAGACACAGAGACAACAGCAGCAGACAAGCTTACACCACTATTGCAGAAGGTTTGGAAGGAAGGAAAGGTACCTGCCAATTGATGGGAAGAAGGGCTATCTTGTCAAACTCCCAAACAAGGGAAACCTAAGTCTTTGCAAGAAATGGCGCGGAATCACGCCCCTGTCCACATCAAGCAAAATATTAAGTCGCATCATCTTGGAGAGACTAAGAGGAAAATGCTCTGAATTCAAAATTACGACCGAAACAGGCTGGCTGGGTTCAGGAAGTACAAATCATGTACGGATCAAATTGCAACACTACCCTAGGCATCATCATAGAAAAGAGGGTAGAATGGCAGTCAACTCAACTCAACCTAAACTTCATCGACTTTGAAAGGCTTTTTGACAGCGTCGATCGAGAAGCGATGTGGAAACTGCTTCGACACTGCAGTTTTGGTGCCACAAACCTTTATTAACCTCATTCAACAACTATATGAAGACGCCAGATGCTGAGTAATTCACAATGGAATGCCCAGCGACGCCTTTGAAGTGAAGACAGGAGTAAGACAAGACTGCCTACTGTCACCCATGATCTTCCTGATTGTGGTCAACTTGACTGGATCATGCAGCGAACCGGGAGGAGCGAGAAGAAGGGCATACGCTAGATGGACCGATGAAAAGACCCCAGAAGAAGATTTGGATTTCGCCTATGATGATTTATGTCTAGTGTCTCATCACACAAACTCGAAGATCTACATGCGAAAAGTAACAAGTTGACAGAAGAGGTGGGTCAGCGAATACGGTAGTTCAGGTGAATGTAGAGAAGACTGAGGTGATGAAGATACCCAATGAACAACAACAACAACAACAACAACAACAACGAGCAACAATCACCATCAACGGGAGAGATCTAAAGGAAGTAGTCTCTTTCACCTACCTAGGCAAGGCAGCATCGTTTCAACCAAAGGTGGCACAGATGAGGACGTTTAAGCCAGGATCGGAAAAGCAAGACAGGCGTTCTTTAACGTGAAACCAATGTGGAGATCTACTGCACTGGACTCAACATAAAGAATATGATCCGGATTTTCAACACTAGTGACAGTTAAGTGAATGCTTCTGTGTGATGGCTATGAGACTTGGCGCGTTACGAAAAGCATTTCCAACAAACTACAGACATTCATCAACATCTGCCAACTACGCTCACTCGATGCTGACACTGAAGATCAAATGGCTAGAATAATAAGAATAAGCGACAAGGAATCCTGGCCGGCTGGCTGGCTGGCTGGCCGGCTGGCTGACAACGAAGCAACCAAGAACCCATCGCCCAACAAATATGCAGTGGAAGAAAGTGGAGATGGATTGGATGAGATTGGACATACACTGAGAAGACCATTGGGGGACATCACGCAGCAGGCCAGGCCCTGGAGTGGAATGCGAAGGGGAAACGAGGAGTTGGGTGTCCCAGGTGAGGGTGATATGGGGGAGATCATGTGAGTAAGAATTGAAAGCTTGTGGGTAGTTGTTGAGCCGTGTTTAAAAGACTGCAGAGAAGAGAGTGGAATGGAGACGTGCTGCTGGAGCCCTATGTTCTACGAGGAACCCAAGAGACAAATAATAATATGAATCCCGCCAATTTGCATGCCATTGAACTGGCGTATGAGATGACCAGGGTGACATTCTGATCTGTGCACGGTGTGTGTCGTCTATAATTCTTCATCACATTTATGGAGGCCAAGGGTATGCTCATAAAAAGTTTATTCAAAAACAAACTTTTCATTAGTCCTGAAATATCTTGAGAGTGTTGTAGTTCTTCAAACTTAGATTACTTTCTATTGTGAGTAAACATTACCTATTGTTTGTTTTATTTTCTGTGTTTACATATATATATATATATATATATATATATATATATATATATATATATATATATATATATATATATATATATATATATATATATATATATCCCGAAAATTACTGATTTTATTATACTTCATTTTAGCGAATGCGTATTTTCGTTGAAATCTAATCAAGCTACACTAAGGTATACGCTCAGTGTCGAAAGATAAATAAATGGTTGATGCACATAAAATAACTAAGGGGATGGGGTTCATGTTACATGATAGGTTGCTAACAAATTGTTAAGACTGAAATCAAAACTATGAGGAATACTCAACGTTATATTGCTCTTAATGACTAGCAGAGGAATCCAGAACGAGCTTATACTTTTATTTGGGACTCGTCATTCGGATGTACCCGCACCCCAGTGAATGGTATTGTTCACACTGAGGCATGAACACAGTGCCCATTGCTTCAAACGCCAGAGCGTCATCCACTAGACCACTGAGGCACGATAACTGACTCTTGTGCAAACGGTATCAGTTGTTGTAATGATACTTATAATTTCCAGTTGTTATACAGAGCCAAACTGCTGGCGAGTCTTAAATGGGACGAAACACGCGTCCTGGATTTCTCTGCTAGTCATGAATTTCCGGCAGTATAGAGGCATCCACATAGGAGCTGTTTGTCGCTGTATAGCAACGGGAAATTAAAAGTATAAGTACATTATTCAACATCGTTTGTTTTATCTTTCATATATACATTCATTTCTTAAAGTACTTTACTCATGTAATTTAATAGTCTTGTTACAATTATTCCCTCAGTTAATGTCTTTTTAACTTCACGTCAATGACTGGATTACTTACTTACTTACCCTATTGTACAACATGAACTCCGCTAATAATTTGTTGAATGTGCATCAGTTATTTATAAATCTGTTCACACTCCATGAACATACCTTCACATATCATAAACTACTATCCAAAGTCTGAAGCTGATAAGAACTTTGACGAAATTATGTTTTTGCTAAAACTGGCTACCATGCCAATATTTTATCGAACTTTAATTCGTTTTCATCTTCTTACAAAACGCCTTGACAAGTAGGTATGTGATATAACTGTTGGAAATGAAGGTTGTACCAAAGCGCTCTAAATACGCTCACTAAATTTGTCTGAGTTAAGAAGGTTTAAATACACTTTGTTATTCTAGTTGAACTCGAACGGGACAATGAAAACATTATTTACAGATAGAAATGATGCATGCTGTGCGCGCATTCTGTTTAATTACTCTCTGTGAAAGCAGTGCTACTGTGTTCCGTGGTCTTACCATTGCGTCTTATGCAAACAGATTTGTTCCTCATGAAACGGAAGGATTTAACCACCAGTCAACTTAAATTTTATTGATGTTGGACGGATCACATACTTATATTTCTTGCAAAATAATATTAATACTGTTCTTGATAAATTTATTAGTGTTCATCTAGAGATCACCATCACCATGGAAAAAGAGAGTGGAATAATGGCAACTCGTTTATAGACATCTTACGAATAAGGTCGAATGGACATATATACTCAACGTCTGGTTGTCCATAAACTCACTTGCATAGTTTTCTATCTGTCAGATATAAGCGGAACCTGATGACATAATTGGCTAGTTTCCTTTTTGATGCGATAGAAGAAAGGTTTATTAATATTTGTAACTTACTTGGTAATAATGAAGAAATAACTAATTTCACAACTCAGTACGTCAGTGAGGTGATCGCTAAGCCGAAAGTGATGATAGTTTTGAAGAGATCTATATTCTTGTGTTTACAGGTGACATTATTACTAAGATTTCGAGTGAAGTTTTGAGTAATATCTTCAAAACAACCCTCAAGGCTGTCAAAATTTGTGTCATCTAAAATTTACCAATCAAAGGTGTGAGACTTAAGAATAAACGGTCTGATCCAGTGTTTCCCATCTACATTTTATTAATTTCAGTAACTTCCAAAGAGCTAGTTACATAGTTGAACAATTAGGCAAGTCAATTATTACTTAGTGAAGGAATAAAAAACGATCAATAGTTCTATATCTATATGTTACTGACACTTATAATGCAGCAGATACAGGTAGGGATTTTGAAATTAATCATTGTATACCATATAAAGTTCATTATTTCTCAATTATTCATTGACTATAAACCTCACAAGTCATTACAACATATCTCTGTGGAACTAATTTCTAGACACAAAAAATTTGTTTTCCCTTTCTAACCAAAGTTAATCAACTGCAGAACTTCCAATGCTTATAGATAAGACTTTCTTCTATTTATCTCAGCCTCTTCTATCCCACTATTCTGCTTTCTTACTACTATATAATAATAATTAATTTGTATCCTCTTGCGGAAACTGCTCACTTTTATTGTCAGTTTGTGTGAGGTCAGTAACTTAGAAACTTATTTCACTCACTAAGCACTTTGATGATCATGATTAATTATCCTATTCATCATTCTGCATGTTAATTACACTAATTATTTAAATTGTGTGTAATTCTGACTTAAAATTACCACTAACTGAATTACTGCGACTAACCTCCTCTTCCAACTTTAGTGTTTAGGCCTACAAAATGTACAGCCATTAATGGATAGGTAACTGAATAATGTTATTTTCTGTCTAAATATGTTTTCATATAAATGTTAAATAAGGACTTTTAATAGGCTGAGATGATACCATTTGACTTTCTAGGCTACATACAAATGGTCTAAATGCAATATCTGAGTGGGTTAAGCTCTATGTAGTAATAAAATTAATTTACAATACATAAATCTAAAACAAGATTGAAGTTAATCGACAATATAATCTTTTTTTTTGCCATTGTGGTTTGATTGTATCATCAAAACTACACACCATATAAAAATGATGACTCTAGCCTTTTCAAGGTAGGAATATGGATGGATGTAAGTATTTCATACATATAGTGTGCAACATGATCAATCATGGCAGGTTTTTATATAGAGATGGAATGCAAAGTATGAATAACTGAAGAATCTCAGAATAGAGTAAAACAGGTATTCTTTTCGTAATCCAGCTGATATCAGCCTGCAGTAAAAAAAATATCTACAAATGCTATACCGGCAGAGGTATGCAAAATCTTTCAATTCAGCAGACTGGATACCTTCACATCAAAAGAAACTAAGTGAAACAAATGTATTAAATTTGTATTCAAGTATATTAGCATAATCCCAAATATACACTATTTACATTCTCAATTTGTTTTTGTCTCTATAAACGTCTGATTGGCATAATTTTTACGTGTAGCAGTGTTTTCTTATTGGGTCAATTACTTATAAATTCCTGAAATGGGGATTTGTTTTAATCGTCTTCTTTTTATCAAATGACGCCTATTCTGACTGTTTTGTTGCTGCTTATATTCTAGGCTGTTCAACTTTACTAAATGCTTATTCAAAGATACCTTCTTCAACATTTGATTGGATAAGCTCAAATCTAATGCTTTGTCAGTATTTCCTCCCAGCTGACGGGTGGTTTCCTTATTTATATGCTCATTATCCCGCCTTTCTTGAGTATCTTCAAAGTAATCTTCTTGAAGTGCAGGTTTCATCCTTTCATCTAAAGTACTTATTTCGTTAACGTTTGCTGTTGTTGGTAGTACTGGTATTGTTTGCGTTTGTACATGAATACTAACAGGTTTTTTTGACCTTTTCACAAGCATCTAATGAATGATAACCATAATAATGTAAGATATTCATCAATTCTGGGGCTGTTTTAAATATTGGTATTGGTATTGGAATTATAATCGGTTGATTAAAACAACTAACCTGAATATCACCATTATCATTAATTTTATTCCAATCGCTGATTTTGCCTTTATTTGAAAAATTGACTAACTGATTAAATAGACTTATCATTTCTACATTAGGAAATTTTGACTGGTCAATATGTTCCATATCAGAGTTTACTATATCTAAATTAGAACCATGAGGGCTGACAGCTTTACTATTCATTTTGAAATCATTCTCATTGGTATCATTGTTCTTAGCATTTTCCATGGTCTCACTATTCATTAAGTTATTAATAAAATGAGTGATATGAACATGCTGCATTATATAATCATATAGTGGGATAGGCAGTATTTCATTATCAGCTTTATTTGTAATATTATTAAATTGTGAGTATAACGGTGCATTTGAAGATACGTCATGATTTGATGTTTCTTTTGAAGAATTGGTTTTTGTATGAAAAATATTCATGGGATGTTTGCGATTATGAGTGTTGTTTTGTTGTTGGTGATTATGATGTCGTTTCTTCGATGGCATTCGATTAGTTGTATTAGTGAAAAGGACATTAGTTGACGAATCACTCCCTGAATAATAAGATAAACATGCTTGTTTGCTTCCATCGGCAGTTGCATCTTTATCAGAATCACATACATATGGTAGGCGACCAGAGACTGCCATAGCCGGTATTTCATTCAATAACTGTGAGTTTAGTCTTAGTCGTCGATTTTTGAAGTAAGCACGACGTAGATTATCAAAACATATTTGAGAACAACAAACTGGCATTGGTTCTGTCCCTTCCACAAAATTATTTACACTCACTGATTTACATAAAGCATTGGATTTATAAGGTTGGAGATTTGGTTTCTTACACCAAGCGCATACATCTCTTACACCAGAAGAGAATGTTGTGGACGATGATGAGGAGGTGAAAGAGGACGTAGTGATGATAGAAAATAATGATACAGTCGGTGAACTGCACTTATTGTTATGCTTCTCAACTACTTCATTAGTATTATGTATTACCTCACTTTTCATCTTCTGAATTTCACACGGAACTGAATTCGTAGGCGTTGAAAATGACATCATTCATTTAGTATACTGAAAAATAATAGATACTAACTTTTTTCCCATTCCACATAAGATAATGAACGGCTTCAGTTAAACGTATACTGACTAAGGTCTGCTAAATTCAATCGTTACACAGTTTTGTCAAACATTAAACAGTTGAGTCTTGACTTGATATACGGTATTTTTATAGTGTGTTTGGGTGTGTAGAAGAAATTATCTGAATATCAAGTTACTTGGATGTATCTGTTTGACTTCAATTTCTATTGGTTAGAAAATTTTCATACCTTTTTCATTTTATGCCTCACTCCATCACTTTCTGTGTTGTTCTACTTCTCCAATTTCTGTATGAGACAACAGTTCAGCTCAAATTTCCTTGGTCCAATCAGCTTTACGGTATTATATACATATGAACACAAACGTTTCTGGACAAAACTAATAATACAAAAGTAAATAGATATAATTACACAAAGATATGAACCCAAAAGAGTCAAATTTCATATCGAAGAAATTCTGTTTTTTTTGGAAATTTCTTTGTCAATTAATTTGCTTATTAGTTTTAAACACGCGTCCTTTCAGAAGGTTTCATGATGCTATTTTCTCGTCATAATTTTAGCTTTCGAATTAATTGCTCGTCATATGTAGCCCAAGTTGATTTAAAAGCGATAACGGCAAAAACTCACAGTGTAAAGATGATGATATCAAGTCTCCTATTCATTTAGCTTGATGCACTGAAAACTGACACTATTTGAGTACTCATTGTGTATATCAGTTGGGATATGTTTCATACTATTGAACACATTCATCGTGCACATAAATGATTGAATAATCGTGTGAATGAGCATTTACTTAAACGGAAAAGATATGAATAGACAAGGGCTCTACAAAGTTTTGTTGACAAGCGTTTTTTTTACACTTAGAAAATATTCACTTAGATTAGACCGTAACGACTATTTGGAAAAAGAGTGATTTCAACAGACATGGTGTCACTTTTCGCAAACCTTTGCTGACCGAATCAAATTTTCCTTCAGTGACTTCATTCAATTTTTAAGTCTTCAATGTTAATCTGCCCAACCATTGGGTGAACGATTTATGGTCAAAGTTTACTTCAGATTTAATAACGAAATTTTAAGACGAACTGATTGCACAGAAACGACATAGCCTTTTTGTACCGCTTCTGACCAATTGATTTATACCAAGCTTGGAAAACAGCGCTGTACTATCCAGAATCAGACAATTTTATGCGTATAAAGACATTTCGAAGATATCTTCATGTTTTGTGTTGAAAAAGTGGATGTGACAAACCTCCTCCAAAGGATCATGACAACTATATTTTAATCAGTTTTAGATTGGAAATTAAATCTACTCCCTTTAAGTTAATCTTCTAAAATGACCTGATAATTCTGTTTAAAGTTCTATTCTCAGTATGAACACTTGGGATGAGCAGCTGGTCAGGTTCAAAGACGTGTATGTTCAAGTAGGAAGAAAAATGTGACATAGTGCCTGTTTTCAAAGATTAAAATGAAACGTACCAGTGATGCTATCAAGTAAGAATTAGAAATACCTCGTAAAATGATTTGACAGAATGGTTATTGCATTTTAGTTGATTATTAGATGTATCACATAGTGGGACAACATTATTTATTGGATAACATTTCGAACATAATTCATTGTCTGTAGTCAATATCAAGATCTTCCTTCATATGACTATGAACAATAAATTGTGTTCGAAACGTAATCCAGTGAATAATACTGTCTAATAAATCAACTAAAACGGAATTGTGTTCCGTCCAATTCCTTAAGTTTCACTCATATTAGAAGAATGCTTATTGACCCAGAATTATAGGTATATGTACACAACAGAAAAAAGTTATCGAAAAACAAACATGCTTTGAAGTAAATTCTCTTATTACAACTCAGATTTAAATGTGATATCCTCATGGGTATTTCGCTTAAACGCTTGATGAATTCTAAGAATAGAATATTTTGGGCTGAAATTCTTCAAAGTGTCTCTTCACGCAAAACAGCTAGTTCGTCAACGTATGGAAGACAATTTGATACATTGGGTCTCATCGCTTTGTATCTACAATGTCATATGCTGTTATGTAGCTGAATAAATTGGCCGTACTGAGCTTTCTGACCGAATATGTTCGTAAACTCTAACCAGCTTGGTTTTTGTAAGGTGAAAACAATACTACCTAGAAATCTATTATCTAGCATCTTGGTAAAGCAATACATTTATCTTCTCTCGATAATTCGTTCAAAGTGCTTTACAGGGTCCTATAAAGCAATTTAATAACAATAAAACTTTTGTGTTTCGCCAACAACTTGGCAATACACAATTTCAAACCTCAAAGATATGATCAAATGAATAATGGACAATTGTAACAAATGTCATCCTATTCGTTGATGTATTTAATATTAACCTTATAATTTAATATTTATTTAATTGAGCATATACATAACAATCTATCTGGTTGCTACTCGCGTCTAGTGTTGTTGGCTCATTTTTCAATACAACATCCCAATTTATACCTCGCTTTTTCTCCTTCTATTTACACTGACTCTGGTGGATCAGCAGTATCTGGGAAAATAAGAAAAGTGACTGTATTTCGGGAACCGTAAATAAAAGTTGGAGTCAGATACCGTGGCATAATACAGTGACTTACTTGTCTGTGCGTTTTAAACTGTTGTATGGTTTTGTAATTCCCATTTAATTACTTTTGTAGTTTTCTGGAAATACCTTCCTTCTATGCATTCTCTACTATTAGTATAGTTGTTTTATATCACTGTTAGACACGATCCATCACTAATATTTTCTACTATTTTTCCACTTTTAGTATTTTATCCAACTTATCTCCAGAATTTTCTATATTATTCTACATGTTTTGTTCGCTGTCCCATTGATTCTGATAGTAGAATGAAAATTCTTAGGGGACATTCCATCCATAGGACTATATATTTACCAATGGACAGCCTTGAAAATGGGTCTATCGAAAAGATAATAATCTTCTCCGTATTCGGCTCTTAACCTTTTTTATGGTTGTCAAACGTCAAAAAGTTAACAGTTTGACCATATATAATACCGATTATTATTTAAATATATTTAGCTTTTGTGATAATTTGTGCAAATACGCATGACAACTAGGTGTGTAGCTGAATTTTTCAAAATGGATTGGGTTGATGAGCTACACATTTAAGATGAACTACATCTTTTTACTGTTTTATCAAGATTTAGAAAGGTGACTAGCTATTTCTAAAGAAAAATTACTCGAATTTGTAATTAGTTTGCGCAAATCACGTCCATAAAATAATTCTTACACGTATTTTAAATTCTCCATATCACAACTTCTAGTTTATTACATCTTCGAACTAAGCTTTTCTTTACTTTTCATCTGCCATCCAAGTACATATGACTCAATTAACGCAAGTTTTCGTTATGATCACTCACTGCTCTCCATTACATGTACACCTTATTTGTGGTCTTTTACTTCGCATAATGTCCTTATTGGATGATGAATATTTGTTTCCGGTACAGCAATTCAAAAAGTTGTCACCTCTAGGGTTCATATACGTCCAAATCAAACTTACAGCTGACTAGTTGAATTCTGAAGTTACATTTCTGTTTGCTACTTTGCTTCCGTAAAATTTGAATTGCTTACACATACACTCACATCTTCGTAACATTTATCATTATACTATTATTTGTCTCTTGGGTTCCTCGTAGAACATAGGGCTTCAGCAGCACGTCTCCATTCCACTCTCTTCTCTGCAGTCTTTTAAACACGGCTCAACAACTACCCACAAGCTTTCATTTCTCACTCACATGATCTCCCCCATGTCACCCTCACCTGGGACACCCAACTCCTCGTTTCCCCTTCGCATTCCACTCCAGGGCCTGGCCTGCTGCGTGATGTCCCCCAATGGTCTTCTCAGTGTATGTCCAATCTCATCCAATCCATCTCCACTTTCTTCCACTGCATATTTGTTGGGCGATGGGTTCTTGGTTGCTTCGTTGTCAGCCAGCCAGCCAGCCAGCCAGCCAGCCAGCCAGAATTCCTTGTTGCTTATTCTTATTATTCTAGCCATTTGATCTTCAGTGTCAGCATCGAGTGAGCGTAGTTGGCAGATGTTGATGAATGTCTGTAGTTTGTTGGAAATGCTTTTCGTAACGCGCCAAGTCTCATAGCCATCACACAGAAGCATTCACTTAACTGTCACTAGTGTTGAAAATCCGGATCTTATTCTTTATGTTGAGTTCAGTGCAGTAGATCTCCACATTGGTTTCACGTTAAAGAACGCCTGTCTTGCTTTTCCGATCCTGGCTTAAACGTCCTCATCTGTGCCACCTTTGGTTGAAACGATGCTGCCTTGCCTAGGTAGGTGAAAGAGACTACTTCCTTTAGATCTCTCCGTTGATGGTGATTGTTGCTCGTTGTTGTTGTTGTTGTTGTTGTTGTTGTTGTTGTTGTTCATTGGGTATCTTCATCACCTCAGTCTTCTCTACATTCACCTGAACTACCGTATTCGCTGACCCACCTCTTCTGTCAACTTGTTACTTTTCGCATGTAGATCTTCGAGTTTGTGTGATGAGACACTAGACATAAATCATCATAGGCGAAATCCAAATCTTCTTCTGGGGTCTTTTCATCGGTCCATCTAGCGTATGCCCTTCTTCTCGCTCCTCCCGGTTCGCTGCATGATCCAGTCAAGTTGACCACAAACAGGAAGATCATGGGTGATAGTAGGCAGTCTTGTCTTACTCCTGTCTTCACTTCAAAGGCGTCGCTGGGCATTCCATTGTGAATTACTCAGCATCTGGCGTCTTCATATAGTTGTTGAATGAGGTTAATAAAGGTTTGTGGCACCAAAACTGCAGTGTCGAAGCAGTTTCCACATCGCTTCTCGATCGACGCTGTCAAAAAGCCTTTCAAAGTCGATGAAGTTTAGGTTGAGTTGAGTTGACTGCCATTCTACCCTCTTTTCTATGATGATGCCTAGGGTAGTGTTGCAATTTGATCCGTACATGATTTGTACTTCCTGAACCCAGCCAGCCTGTTTCGGTCGTAATTTTGAATTCAGAGCATTTTCCTCTTAGTCTCTCCAAGATGATGCGACTTAATATTTTGCTTGATGTGGACAGGGGCGTGATTCCGCGCCA